TCCTCTGCCAACACAACAGAGGAATAATAAACTAATATATGGGATGAACTAAAATATATCAAAAGAAGTGTTACTTTTGACAAAACAGCTTTTGCTTTTCATAGGCTTTGGGAAGAATTTTAGATAAAACTTCCTCGCTCGTTTTCTTTCCAGCCCTGTGATTCAAAGTCGTGCACGTAGTGATGCTGTTGCTGTGGAGCAGGGGTGTGTGGCTGCAGGGTCTGTGGGCGAGCTGCAGCAGTGCACTTGGATGCTTCTCCACTGAGCATCGGTCAGTGCCATGGGTCGGTTATAAAACGTAATAGATTGCTTCCTGCTTCTGCCCGCTGATTCGATCTCTGGAGTTCCTCGTGGGCTCTGAGTTGTGTAACCGGTGCTGAATCTTATGTTCTTTTTGTTGGTGGTTATTATATTAACTATTTCTGCACCCCCGATGATTAAGAACAGATTATGCAGCAGGAGCAAATACTTTGCAAAACCTTCCCCGCTCAAAAGTCGATGTGAGCCTCCAGCGACCGCTGCTTCTGCCGTTAAAGCAGGGTGAACCAGCGGGTTGCTTCTGAGGAATTTTCACTTTCTGATGGTGTAGGAGGGATATTTTCTTCAGTGGGTCTGAGTCTTGTTGGTTTACAACTTTGGTAGAGAGATCTGACCGTGCCTGCGAGGTGTTGTGGGCAGGGACGGTCTGTCCCTTGAGAGCCAAGGTACGGGACTGACAAAGCCTGGCTGTAATTCATGAATTCACCTACTTGGGGTCTCTTCTGAAACAAATCTTTAATTAAGATGACTCCTATTCCTCTCGGTCAGTCAGTGTCCGACTTTTCACGTCGTGCCGGCTTTTCTCTCCCATTTTGTTTCTCTTAGCAAAACGTCACTCTATATTAAGAGCAAGCGGCACGCTCTCTCCAGGCCCTCAGCTGAGGTGTCAGTGTGATCTTGGGAAGGTACACCTGAGGGGCCTGAATCTTTAACCAGCATTTCCTGTGCGTAATCAAAACTGCCTGATTTCAAAAGAATTGAGCTTCTCTCATTGGTATTGACGGAGTTAACAGCTCTGAAAGTCAAGTCACTTTTTTGAATAGTGGTTGTAAGTGGCATCCAGTTTTTAAGTGTGATGTTGTATCCTCAGCACTGTCCTTTACCAATCCCTGTAACAAGTAGTATTACCCGCTCAAACTTCAAATTGTAGCGGACTAATGTCTTTCAACTCTTTCAGTAGAAGGCATTAATGAAAAATATTAGTGTGGGGGTTTTTTGGTTTGATCTGATTTGCATACTGTTAGTGTTTTCATAAAGAAACCATATAAACATTTTACAAAAATTCTTTGCTGGTGTGGTTGAGACTATTAAATTGTGCGGTGACAAACAACAATTTGTTGTAAATCTAATTGTTTGGCTTTTTGTTCTCTATTCTCATTTTAATCAAACAAAAAAATTTCCAACTGTTTCTGCAAATCCAAAAACGTTGACATAACCATTATCCAGTGAAGACTTGAAGGTACTCGGTTGTCACCATATTGTCTTGTTTTAGACAGATTAAAATCTGGATAGAAAGCCCAGCTGTTCAGGAACGTACGTGTTCTTTATGTAGGTAGTTTGGAGGAAGTCTTTGTTTATTCTTTAATATTTATATGAAGCAGTGATCACATGAAGTGAATCATACCCATTTAGGGATCCTGCCTAAAGAAAGCTCCTTGGTCAATGCCATGCTTTTAGAGAACAGGCATTTAATATTCTTTGCCTTGAAGGCCCACTTTTCCTGTGAAATACGTAGTTTCTCTTCCCTCTATGTTGTAAAATTTACTGTGCAAGTCATACATAGTTGAGGTTGATGGACTGATAGCTCTAGAGACCAAAGTATGTAAACAGTGGCAAAAGTGAAAAGTCCCCACACCTTTCTACTGTGGTGTGTGTTGAAGGAATAAACGGCAGAACATATTGGGGGTTTAGGGCAGTTTGTTCTCTGGACACATGCTCAGGCCATGCCCTGTTCATTTTTTCAGTGATATATATGCCACTTGACTAGGGACTAGGAGCTGCCTTGGCACCCACATCAAATTATGTGAAGAGCTTGCAGATAATGTTAGCTTTTTGTTGTTAACAAGATCTAAAACTTCTGAGACACTGCATCATATTATAGTCTCTTGAACCATTCAGGTCTTGAGCCCTATGTAATTTAAAGAGTTAAAAATTAATGATTTTTAGAATTCTATTTTTAGAAGCAGCTGCCTGGCGACTAAACCAAAGAGCATCTATGCCTTACACATTGAACTGTAATGTATGCATCATCCTGAGTGTTGAAAACTTGCAATTTAATAGCATTTTAAATAAATAACTGTTAAATAAGTTGAATGACAATTTTACAAATATTGTTTATTGTCACAACAATCAACAGTGGCAATTCCAGTATAATGTAAGAATGCATGTGCTAGTTTTATCAAGTTGAACAAAGCACAGCAAGGGTAGGTGATGCGACCCACAGCTCTCATCGACTCATGGGCACGGGGTGTGCTAGCCTTCAGTAGATTCACTGGCCAACTTTCAGTAATCCCCAGATCCGCTTGAGTCTCTGTGACTAGTGTCTCTAGTTGCCCAGCTCTCTGCCTTCCCATGTGCTTAACCGATAAAAATCACTGGACTTTGAATTGGGGGTAATTTAAACCAGGTGAATCTGGATTTCTCTCTGTAGTTATGTGTAACATTTTTGGTATTTGATTGATTGTTATCACAAGAAACTTCTATCGTTAAGTATGAGAAGGGTTTCCATAAATAAAGAGGTCATTAACCTTTACACATTACTTAATGGTATATACCGCGACATTCATAGCTGTGACAATACCAGGTGCTTATGATAGGCAATGTCCTCCATCTTCAGAATGACTGGTCTTAAAATAATTCTAAAAGTTGTAACACAAATATAATTCTGTGCCATCTACTTGATTTCAGCTAGTGTAAATTGCATATAGATGAGACCCTGGCATTTGACAAGGCAAAAATTATTAACTGATGTTGAGCATTTGAATCTCATTAATTGCCTTAATTTTACCTGTATATTTCTACTTCACTTATTTCAAGACACAAATATGAATTTGTGTTACATTATAATAAATTATGTTAAATCTGTTGTATCCACAGTTGTATTGCAAAGAAGTTGAACTACAATTCTGCAGGCAAATGCACATTTCAAAATCCTGGCTCGGGAATCTAGCACTAAACTAAGAAATAGTTGATAAGTGTTTGAAAAATACGAATTTTACATTTCTCTCATTGTCTGCAAAAGATTAAAAAAAGAAAGAAATTAAATAAAATTATCCTCCATCTTACAACCATGTTTTTAATTTGTGTGCCATTAAAAAATGCAGGAATGCACAGGACATTGTAACAGCTTTCTTGGTTTGTCCTTTTTCCCCCAAGGTTTAGCAACTTCCCCCAGTGGTTAATACAGCACTCCAAGCAACTAATCCTGTATCTATAAACTGTAATGTCAAAGGATTAATGTGTGCCTGGGAACGCAGGTCAAATCTGCTTTAGATCACAACAGTTTGAGTTCAGCTCCTAGCTGAAATATCACGAAACTACCATATAATTTAGTACAAGTCTTGCATTCCTATACTTCAGCTGCTGGTTGCCTTTAATAAAAAGAGGCCCAGGATTGATTTCCCTGAGAATGTATTTTTCTTTGTCTAAAACCAAAGTAGTATCAGCTGGAAAGTAGAAGGATTTCTTAAAATAGTTCTGTATTCGATATAAATAGCACTGTCAAAGTCTGCTTTTAACACTGTAGAAAGTACAGTATGGCGAGTTACTGATATTTCCTGAATTTCTTCTGTTTGCTGTGTTACAATGCCCAGATCTTGTAAGCATCTCTTGGTGGCATGCCCTGCCTTCCACTGGATAGCTGCTGAGACCAGTGGCGCTGCACACAGATGCAGTGGCATACGTTAGCGGAGTCTCATCTGAGAGTGAGGACAATTAGCTTTAAATATTTTTTAGAAAAATATTTCTCTAATTTGCACAATACAGAGAATGATATGTGCAGTAAGCAGACATATATAACTACATCTACTATATTTACGCTGAGTCACCAACAAAGCACAGCAATTTCTACCTAATCATCTGCAAATGCACTATCCAGAAGCTCTCCCTTTACTTTTGTGATACTTCTGTTAGGTACCGTAGTCGTGTGTCTTTCAGGGTTTTTCCTATGTGAATTCTTGTAATATGTTTTTACTTCCAGAAAAAGGTGGCAGGTATCCTTTTGGAATACTTTTTGATCTTAACATTGAAATATAATTGAGAGTAGGTATATTAATTCACTTTTGGTTAGCGTGGGTGGGTTTTTTATTAATTTCATTCTATTTTAAGGCTACAGTGTATTCTATTATTCATAACATAAAATAATTGCCAGCTTTAGAATATGTCTCTTTCTTTATAACATATAAAAAGCAATATCGTGCACCACTGTACACATCTTAGTGAAGGGGCTGTGTGCTTAGACTCTTGTTTTGATCAAGTTTACCTATATTGAACTGCAAATTGAAAACCCTGTGTGTTGTCAAACAGTAAAGTTACCGTCACAGTGGCTGACATTTTTTCATTTGGTTGGTTGGTTTACTTAGAGAAAATAGTTTACCAGTTGAAATAAAAAGCAATGTACTTTTTTGCTGACATAAAAAATCCGCCTGGACTGAAATGATGGTTCCTGCCTGCTGCCCTCTGGTGGGGTCACCATCCTCCTGGAGCAAGTGGCTGTGCTCACGCTCCTGGGCACTTGTTTCAAAACCGATTGAGCTGAGCATTTCATAACCACGTTCTTGTTTGCTTCGTCTTTTAAAAAATTTAACCTGGGCACACCACAAAGCCTGCCTATGTGTCTGAGGTGCAACATGCCTGGAAACCCAACTTCATTTCAAGCAGAGATTCATTTAAAAATTAAGTCTCCTAGGCTGGGATGCGGTGCTGTAGGACTTGCTGACAGTCATTTTCTCCTGGCCTGACAGGTTCTTCGCTCTGTGCTGCTGTTTCCGACGATAGAGCGTATAGCTCAGTCCCCTCAAGGAAAGCTCATGACCCCTTTGCTGTGCAAACTTCGTTACGTTCTGTACATGCCCGTCTACCTGCTGTCCTTTCTACCAGAGGGAGTCAAAGCCTCCCTGGTGCGGTTTGCTCTGCGAGGAATGAAGACCTGTGATGAATCTTCCATAACAACCTCCGTAAATCTCTTCAGCGTGGACTGCATTGGTGAGCACGGGGTGGTTTTTTTTTTTGTTACACCAACTTTTGTATTGTTCTCATTTAGTAAATGTTGATGTAGTTTTGTGAGCAAAAGCTTAATACTAAAGCATGAATACGTTTTGAAGGACAGGTCTAATCTTTTCTCAAATGAAGACTGTAGGTACAGAAAAATCTCAAATGAGGCAATTTTGAAAAAAAGTCTTAAGGAGAAAATAACAAATAAAATGTTTCCCCAAAGAATATATATTTCTTAAGAAAACTCTGACCTATACTACTAACAGTATCTCACATGATTAAAACACTGTTTTACAAGCTAGTTTGTTACTTATGTCTGTTTACTTTTTGCATTTCATTCATATTGGATGGTGAAAATAAATCAGTAATCAGTTTCACAAAGGGTTCTTTGCATCTGTTTTTTCAAAGCTATGGTTTAACCGGCTATATAGATTTTGTCATCTGAATTGGAATACTGGTAAATTCAGAAAAAGGCCTTCAGTCTACAAAGACACATAGAAATTACTTTATGCACAGAATTTCAGCACTTTCTTGGGCATACGGAGAAAGATAGAAGGTTAACATTCCTCCAGTGCATATTGTACGCATATTTTGCACATTCTAGCAAGAGAAACAGCTTTAAGAAAGGGAATAATTTCAGATAAATTATGTTAAGTTTAGAATGAAAACCAGAACGTGGATTGTGCTATACTGCAGGTATTTTGGTAAGTTAGCAGTTGAAAACAATTTGGAATAGAATTGACGTGCTAACGCAGTAATAAGAGCAAGAAGGAAGTTTTGATTGCATTAATAGTAGTAAAAACACATTCCTACATTTCCAGTTGTGCTCTGTCTTCTATCAGTTAAATTTTACCTCCTAATCGTCCAAACAGATGTGCCAGAGTGACCGTGATTGCAGTGAGGTCCTATACCTTTCGCTGTGGATGTGTTGGTCTGTATTGGAGGCTCACTCTCTGTAGGACTGTACAGTGACTGAAAGCAGGATGGGCAGTGAGGGTTCTTACCGCCAAACCTAGACAGCCCCGTTTATGTTGTACAAACCTGGCATAATGACAGTCACTCCGTTGCAGTACCCTGTGCCTGACAAAATCAGGCTCCCCACTGGTAATGTAAATTTCCGATAGTAGTCCTATGGTTTGTTGCTTGAGTTCCTATTAATTTATGGCAGTTTTATGACGACCGAGGAGAAAGCAAGCATGCAGTCATACGTACACTAGGCTTTCAGGCTTCTTCCTTTGATAATTTGGTCTCGGAGAAAGGTATGTGAAGGTCTGTGGGGTCACATCTCCACAAGGCAGGAATCCTTCTCTGGTCCCCACAGATAAACTTTTACCTCTCAAAACAGGTTATCCACATCCAGGGTTGTATTGGAAATGGTCCTTGGCCTGCATTAACCTCCAAAAAAGTGTGGCCAGCCATTGTTTGTGAGTGCTGTTTGGCCCAGACCACAGCAGTGGCAGGAATAATTTAACAGAACGGATTTTGTGTGCTGCTGTTGGAGCCTGACTGAGCTCTTTGGTCCCCAGGTGAATGAGCCCGGTTGATGTGTGCGTGTCAGCCTGTTGTAATTTTCCGTGTACACCAGTGTCCGATCTGTGTCCAAGCTGTAAGATAAATTGAGGCAAGAAACCAGACTGAAGGCTCTTTACTTATAGGATGTGATCTCCGCCTATATTCAATTTATTGATTGAATTCATTATACCAGAATGAAAACCCCTGTGAGCCAATGTCTTCTAAAACTTGCATAAATAGGCCTTATTGATGCAACTAGTTCCTTTGGGCTTGTGATATCATCTCTCTCAAGCAGAATTCCCCTTCGATTTCATCTTTGGGAACTGATGATGTTTTACAGCCCAGTGACTCAGGACCACATGCGTGGATTAATAATCTTAGGGCTTTCCAGATATTGCCTCTTAACCTTCTCTTGTATTGTTTGTGCACAATAGAAAATGTTACCATTCAGCAAAAATTTGCTAAACCTAGCACAACAACCGAGTCTGTCTTATGGAACTGCTCATCTGTGAGTTACTGAAGCCTCTGAATTTGTGGTAAATCGTTTTCTGATTGATTCCTTGTCCCTTAATAAACTGCTAGATATGGTTCGGAAACGTTCAACAAATGAAGTTGTTTCTCTTCTCCAGGAAGGTTGCATGTCAACTCATTAAAAATACACATATTGCCTTTGGCATGTACATCTGTTGCATTACTGTAATTGTAATAAAAGTTGTGATTAAGGGCAGAAAAGATGGCAAAAGTTTCCTTAAAACTAATACGTCCGTTAAAACAAACCAACCTGCCAGGGATTTGTTACCACATCCAAAGCTTAGTCACAACAATGTTTTCTCTCCTCTGAAAGGAAATGAGATTTGAAAACTTAATTATAGCGGAACTCTAAGACCGAGTGCCGCTCCCGTTGACATCGAGAGTGAAAAGCTCCATTCAGTGGCAGCAGAATCAGGCCCTTGGTTGAAAGAGTCAGTGAACAAGAGTTATATTACCTATCTGTCCCACTGTTTCAAATTATGTTTGTTCCTGCTTCTTATGCAAACTCATCTTTCCATTGTCCTAACTCTATAGTTGATGATACATAGAAGCCCCAGTCACACAGCAGAAGGCATTGCAATGACACTGTGCAGAAAGGTAATGAAATACAACGTCTTGTCCCAAAGGGGAAATAGTGCAGAAAGAGGAGAGATAGCAGGGACTGTAAAGAAAATGGATTGTAAGGAAGGATGGGAAGACATAATGTATAGATAATAGAGGACCTATTAGAATAAGCAAAGGGGTCTGAAGGCAGTTTGCCTACCTGGATTAAACTTCTAGCAGAAGTTTCTTAGGGCAGAAAAAGCACTACAATGAACAAACTAGCATTTGGGTACTTGTATTCATAAACCTAGGAGATGAACAGACACAAAAATTGGACATTAGTGACCTTGAGTTATCTGAAACATTGTCACGCTGTTTATTCAGGCTTAGCAAAACCCCTATCTCGCACAGTGGTGGTTGTTCTACAAATCATGTATGGTCCTGCAATGCTGGAATACTTTGGCACTCCAGCGCGTTGAAATTTGTAAACATTTCTTCGGTGACAGATGCCAGTAGCAGACTTACAGTGACAGTAAACCATTCTATCTACACGGGACAGGATTTATTGTCCAGCCGTTTGACTGGCAAACTTCCTCCATTTGTTTCTGTAAAATTTCCACAAAAGCACAGACATTACATAATGGGTAAACACCGCAAGGCTTTTTCGAGAGGCGGGCTGGCAGGTCAGAGGTTAACGTCTGGATGACAGTGAAGATACAGATAAGCACAATAGCAAGAAAAACCTCCAACTGGCCCAAATGCGGTGCGTCCTTTGTGATCTTGAACCTGTGACTTCCCTGGAGGAATCTCCCTGTTTGTTTAACCTATTCGGGGAGCAGGGGAGCACGGCAGTGTGGGGCGGGGGGAGCTCTGCTTTGTGCAATTCAGGCAGGTTGGGAAGGAGGGAACTCAGAAACCTGAAGTGAGGGTTTCAGATGGGTTCAGGCTGCACACGAATGAGCACAATAGCAAGAAAAACCTCCAACTGGCCCAAATGCGGTGCGTCCTTTGTGATCTTGAACCTGTGACTTCCCTGGAGGAATCTCCCTGTTTGTTTAACCTATTCGGGGAGCAGGGGAGCACGGCAGTGTGGGGCGGGGGGAGCTCTGCTTTGTGCAATTCAGGCAGGTTGGGAAGGAGGGAACTCAGAAACCTGAAGTGAGGGTTTCAGATGGGTTCAGGCTGTCACACGAATGCTGGCTGGAGACAGTAGATTTCCGGTTTATTTTAAGCATCCAAGAGATGTTGTAAGAAGACAAGGAACTAAGATTAAACTTCAGAGTTTGGATTCAAATTTTATCTTGTTCCAAGTGTGGAGGTATTCAGATTTCATGTGGAGTGTTTACATTTCTCTCATTTTACAGAGAAAAAAGGGCTAAGGCATTTTCAGACACTCTACTCTTACGCCCACAGGACTGCATAGGAAGCGAGAGTCCCGGCTGAGGTGTTAAGGCTTGTCTCCCAGCAGTAGCTACCTCGCTCTGTTGGCTGTACAGGATGGCAAAATTACATCCCTGAAGTGCCATAGAGTAAAAAGCTTTCTCGGAGGATAAAATTTGCAGAACTGTCAAATAGCATCTGGGAGATAAATTTGTATCAAAAGCCGGTGAAACATAGGCTTCCAGTTGCTATGAAAATGCAACATAAGCTTTTATTTTAAAATTTTATCTCCAGGGAGCCAACTGGAAAACTTCATTCTGGGTTTGAATTATCCCAACCTTGGGAGTTGTCATGTCTTGAGATCTGTTTCTATTCCAGTCCTCTCTTCTTACTCAGAGAGTTTTTAAATATGACATTATGGATGGTCTTCATCTGACCACTGCGGACATCGTGCTGTCCAAATAGTTGGCATCTAAAGCAGGATAGGTGAATCACACCCTACAGATGATTATTTCTCTTTAACTGACCTCAGAGCGACCCTCTCTCTACTAGATACCTAAAATTAATGGAGATAAATCCCACTCTATCTACTGTCTGCTCATTTTGCTGCAGACATCAGAAACAATGTGATCTGAATTGTCCATGCAGCCTTTACCCTTGCTGCCAGGACAGTCAGATATCCTATGCTTTGGCTGCATTAGAATTTACAGCTGCTGGTTTCTAGTGAGAGTCCTGTTGTTTGTTTCCTACCTTCTTTGAAAATTCATTTTACATCTCCATCTCCATTTCCTGACAAGTAAGATGGGAAATTTTTGGAGGGTTCTTTTTTGGGACTAAAATGCTGTAGAAATACCCATCTAACTGAAATACTTGGGTAAGGACAGTGCGTGGTGTTGTATTCGTAGCACTCAATAGCTCCTCCACCTATTCTGCTCATATTTTTCAGAGTTAAAAAACAGTGTTTAAAGTATTAGGTAAGCACTTGATAAGTGAATTCACCTGACATGGTGAAATAAGAGTGCTTT